GCGTTCCTAAAAATTCGTTCCAATTTTTGTTCTTCGGTCATATTGGTGTGCTGCATAAGATGCTGTATAGAAAGTACATATTCCTTAAACGGCTCCTTATTACGCTGTATCCTTCTCCTAATTTCATCCTCCAATTTCTCAAAATATCTCGGGGGCAAAAAGAATTTCAGAAAATCGTCCTTAAATTCGCTCCAGGTAGTCCAGTGTCGATTATTGTTCCTTAACCAGATTAAAGCTTTACCTCGTAACAACTCTGGCATTACTTTAGTTATTTGATTCAATTCCACGATGTACATTTCAGCCATTTCTTCTACACGTTCTACGAATCCAATGGGATCCATTCCATTTTCAAAAGTAATATTCCATTTTCGGATTTGGTCGAGAATTACAAGTAACGACGAATTATTGGATGACTTGGGTAGAGAATTTTTGGAAGCCCATATTCGTGGTTTTTTGCGACAACTTCTGCACTTTTTGACCGTTTGTTACCCCAATGCTTGGCTCTCCAAGTGACCTTTCCGCGGAAGTGTGGGGAAGGGCGTACTCTGTTTTTATTGGGGATAATACTATTGCTTCTGATCCACACGGTGTTACGGTTATCAGAGGTTGTTTCGTGACGGGTCGCAATGTCGGCGATTTGGTCGGACTGATACTTTCATGTCGGCTTTGCAACTCTATAAGCCGTCTGCATACATCGGCTTCATGGTCGTTGTGTAGAAATTTAGCCCATCTCTTGCGGAGATCATCTACTTTTCCAACAGGATCGAGATTGAATTCAGTAAGATATGTTACCAAATCTTCTTGTTTTAGCATATAGGCCCAGGAGACCTTTAACATTGTTTTTTCGTTTGACATTTTTGGTTTTCTTCACTTGGTTCAGTTTTTTTTTCGTTAAATGTTTTTTTTTTTTTTAGTTCAGTCGAATTTCACACGTATTGGTTTAATAATTGTTCACTCATTTATTTACTCTTTCTCTCTTTTATTGTCCCTGCTCGGGCGCCATTGTGACGACGTGTTTTCACTTTGAAGCTGGGGTAGGTTCAGCGGAGGGCCAGAGTCGTCACAAGAATTTATTTGTTAGGACATAAAGAGAGAGAGCGAAGCAAAATTTTTTTCTTAAAACGTTATAAATTTATTTCCGTAAATAACACTAAACACTACATTAAACACCATAATATCACGTTCAGAAACACGGAGAACACTAAATCACAGAGTACAGTCGAACTGTGAGTATGCGGGTAGCAGTGGTGGCAGCTTGGCACAGCGGCGGCCCGATGAATACGTCAGCGGCGAGTAGTAGTGGCGGCAGTTTGGCACAGCGGCGGCCCGATGAATATGTCAGCGGCGAGTAGTAGTGGCGGCAGTTTGGCACAGCGGCGGCCCGATGAATATGTCAGCGGCGAGTAGTAGTGGCGGCAGCTTGGCACAGTGGCGGCCCGATGAATATGCGACGATGAATAGGGTGGCGGCGGCTTTGGCACAGCGGCGGCCCGATGAATATGTCAGCGGCGAGTAGTAGTGGCGGCAGCTTGGCACAGCGGCGGCCCGATGAATATGCGACGATGAATAGGGTGGCGACGGCTTTGGCACAGCGGCAGCCCGAAGAATACGCAGGTGACGACTAGTAGTGGCGGCAGCTTTGGCACAGCGGCGGCCCGATGAATACGTCAGCGGCGAGTAGTAGTGGCGGCAGCTTGGCACAGTGGCGGCCCGATGAATATGCGACGATGAATAGGGTGGCGGCGGCTTTGGCACAGCGGCAGCCCGATGAATACGCAGGTGACGACTAGTAGTGGCGGCAGCTTTGGCACAGCGGCGGCCCGATGAATACGTCAGCGGCGAGTAGTAGTGGCGGCTGCTTGGCACAGCGGCGGCCCGATGAATACGCGACGACGAATAGGGTGGCGGCGGCTTGGCACAGCAGCAGCCCGATGAGTACGTCAGTCGCCGTCAACGCAGCCCGAAGAATAGGGAGTATTGCTACAACCCTCACTTGGCCCTGCGTTCAGTCGCCGTCAACGCAGCCCGAAGAATAGGGAGTATTACTACAACCCTCACTTGGCCCTGCGTTCAGTCGCCGTCAACGCAGCCCGAAGAATAGGGAGTATTTCTACAACCCTCACTTGACCCTGCGTTCAGTCGCCGTCAACGCAGCCCGAAGAATAGGGAGTATTACTACAACCCTCACTTGGCCCTGCGTTCAGTCCGGTCTAGTCACCACAAATAGTCAAGGCTTATTGTTTGGCTTACTAAGACTCAATTCAACCGAGGTTGCGCGCCTTTTCTTCCTCCCAATCACACTTGACTTACCAGCCATCAACAGAAGACTGATCCCCATTGTGTGAAATGCGTCTCCTTTTATACCTTTTTGGCTGGTCATCTATTGTTGTTTTCTCATGACAGCAGCTGATCCCAATCTGACAGTTTTGCGTAGTTCCGCCATTTGCCACCAGGGGTTCCAACGTGGTATTTTAATGATAGCTATCTTCACTAGGGGACCGGTGTAACCGTTAATATTTAAATTAATTCTTCAAACAAAAATATTTCCTTGTTGATTTTATATAAAAAGGAAATAAAAATTATATTGAAGATAATAATGTACCCCAAAAACGAAGATCATGACTTTTGGGCGTTACAAGGACCTACACAATAAGGCGTGGATTTCTTAAATAACATTTTCAAGGACCTACACAATAAGGCGTGGATTTCTTAAATAACATTTTCAAGGACCTAAACAAGGCGTGGATTTTTTAAATATTTTTTTTCAAGGACCTCCACAAGGCGTGGATTTCTTAAATAACATTTTCAAGGACCTACACAATAAGGCGTGGATTTCTTAAATAACATTTTCAAGGACCTACACAATAAGGCGTGGATTTCTTAAATAACATTTTCAAGGACCTACACAATAAGGCGTGGATTTCTTAAATAACATTTTCAAGGACCTACACAATAAGGCGTGGATTTCTTAAATAACATTTTCAAGGACCACACAATAAGGCGTGGATTTCTTAAAGAATATTTTTCAAGGACCACACAATAAGGCGTGGATTTCTTAAATAACATTTTCAAGGACCTACACAATAAGGCGTGGATTTCTTAAATAACATTTTCAAGGACCTACACAATAAGGCGTGGATTTCTTAAATAACATTTTCAAGGACCTCCACAAGGCGTGGATTTCTTAAATAACATTTTCAATGACCTACACAATAAGGCGTGGATTTCTTAAATAATATTTTTCAAGGACCTACACAATAAGGCGTGGATTTCTTAAATAACATTTTTAAGGACCTACACAATAAGGCGTGGATTTCTTAAAGAACATTTTCAAGGACCTACACAATAAGGCGTGGATTTCTTAAATAACATTTTCAAGGACCTACACAATAAGGCGTGGATTTCTTAAATAACATTTTCAAGGACCTACACAATAAGGCGTGGATTTCTTAAATAACATTTTTAAGGACCTACACAATAAGGCGTGGATTTCTTAAATAACATTTTCAAGGACCTACACAATAAGGCGTGGATTTCTTAAATAACATTTTCAAGGACCTACACAATAAGGCGTGGATTTCTTAAATAACATTTTCAAGGACCTACACAATAAGGCGTGGATTTCTTAAATAACATTTTTCAAGGACCACAATAAGGCGTGGATTTCTTAAAGAATATTTTTCAAGGACCTACACAATAAGGCGTGGATTTCTTAAATAACATTTTCAAGGACCTAAACAAGGCGTGGATTTTTTAAATATTTTTTTTCAAGGACCTCCACAAGGCGTGGATTTCTTAAATAACATTTTCAAGGACCTACACAATAAGGCGTGGATTTCTTAAAGAATATTTTTCAAGGACCACAATACGGCGTGGATTTCTTAAAGAATATTTTCAAGGACCACAATAAGGCGTGGATTTCTTAAAGAATATTTTTCAAGGACCTACACAATAAGGCGTGGATTTCTTAAAGAATATTTTTCAAGGACCACACAATAAGGCGTGGATTTCTTAAATAACATTTTCAAGGACCTACACAATAAGGCGTGGATTTCTTAAATAACATTTTCAAGGACCTACACAACAAGGCGTGGATTTTTTAAATAATATTTTTAGAAGGACCAACAATAAGGCGTGGATTTCTTAAAGAATATTTTTAGAAGGACCAACAATAAGGCGTGGATTTCTTAAAGAATATTTTTAGAAGGACCAATAAGGCGTGGATTTTTTAAATAACATTTTCAAGGACCTCCACAAGGCGTGAATTTTTTAAATAATTTTTTTTTCAAGGACTTTCACAAGGCGTGGATTTTTTAAATAATTTTTTTTTCAAGGACCTACACAATAAGGCGTGGATTTTTTAAATAATTTTTTTTTCAAGGACTTTCACAAGGCGTGGATTTTTTAAATAATTTTTTTTTTCAAGGACCTCCACAAGGCGTGGAGTTTTAAAATTTTTTTTCAAGGACCTCTACAAGGCGTGGATATTTTAAATAATTTTTTTTTCAAGGACCTCCACAAGGCGTGGATTTTTTTAAATAATTTTTTTTCAATGACCTACACTAGGCGTGGATTTTTTAAATAATTTTTTTCAATGACCTAAACAAGGCGTGGCTTTTTTAAATAAATTTTTTTCAAAGACCTCCAAGGATTTTTTAAATAATTTTTTTCAATGACCTAAACAAGGCGTGGCTTTTTTAAATATTTTTTTCAAGGACCTCCACAAGGCGTGGATTTTTAAATAAATTTTTTTCAAGGACCTCCAAAAGGCGTGGATTTTTTAAATAATTTTTTTCAAGGACCTCCACAAGGCGTGGATTTTTTAAATAAATTTTTTTTAAGGACCTCCACAAGGCATGGATTTTTTAAATATTTTTTTTTCAAGGACCTCCACAAGGCGTGGATTTTTTAAATATTCTTTTGTCAAGGACCTCCACAAGGCATGGATTTTTTTAAATAATTTTTTTTTCAAGGACCTCCACAAGGCGTGGATTTTTTTAAATAATTTTTTTCCAAAGACCTCCATAAGGCGTTTTTTTTTAAATAATTTTTTTCAAGGACCTCCACTAGGCGTGGATTTTTTAAATATTTTTTTCAAGGACCTCCAAAAGGCGTGGATTTTTTAAATAATTTTTCTTTAAGGACCTCCATAATACCAACTATTTTACTGCACTGTAAGAGATTTATTCAGAATATTTTAACATTTCAAGGCAAGTCTAACACCTCTGAGGCGTTGTGCCTGAAAAAATCAAACATATATGCCAGTTGACAGGAGATTGCTATCACAAGTCATATTTAAATGAACATTTATAATGCGTGGCAACAACTATTACAACAAAAAAACTCAGATTTATAAAGGGTAATAGGTAAAACTGTGAAGTCAAAGGACGAGGCCACAAAAATCACAGCAGCAAATAAACAAAACCTTTATTCCCTTGGAAACTCAAAATGGCAAATTAAACAGGATTTGTTTTTAATATTTTGAATTTTTTGTTTTCAAATACGTAAATGTACGTCATTGTTCCACAAGAAAATGTGATGCGGTCCTGTGTGTCCTTTCCATGTGCCGAACAGAGAACAACTGGCTCTATTGTTATTTTGCCATGGCAAAGGATAAAAACACACAATATTTTTGTTTTTGTGAAACAAATACAAAAACAATGAGAGCGAACTTTTTCTGTGTGTGTGAGTTTTGTTTCTCTCATTTTCCTTTGTATGAGAGACTTAAGTGGGTGGTTTATTGTTTATTGTGGCTGAGGAGGAGGGGGCCTTTCTGATGATTAGAGAATCTCTGTTAACAAATTTGTTAACGATTTCTGAGAAATCCTAAAGGGTGGGAGATTTCTAAATGCTGGCATTTCTTTACGTATGTGATTGTGTGTGTGCGATTGCTGTTTGGTCTCCACGCTCAACGAATAAGACAGCTGTGATTTTTCCTTTGTGTGTTTTTGTATAAAATATAAACTTTGTTTTTGGTCGTTTCTTTTTTTGCTTTATTTTCTGAGGTCCTTTTGGAGGGGAATATGAATAGGAAATACACCACTACTGTGTAAAGCAAGTGTGGTGAGTTTCTCGCATAGGGGAAACTTTGAAATATTGATTATAAACAAGTGGTTGTAATTGAAAACGTAGGTAATTAATAATTTAGAGCATATTTGTAAATTTAGAGCAAAGCATTGTATTTGAGAGTAGGGGACAACAAAAGCAGGACTACACAAATTAATTTTTAAATAAATGAATAATTAAATAAAATTGTTTATTTATAATAAATTTAAAAGTTTAAATCGTTGAAAGTTTTGATTTATTTTTTTCGAGTACTTCAATAGGCCAGGATTTTTTATACCCTACACAACTATGTTGTCAGGGTATTATAGCTTTGTGTAGCCCCAAAAGTTTGTAACGCCGCGAAATATTGTTCATAGACCCAGCTTTAAGTATACCGATAGTCATATCTCGTCTAACTGAGTCGATCTAGACATGTGTGTCCGTCCGTCCGACTGTCCATTATAACTTGTAAACACGATACAGGTCACAGTTATGGACCAATCTTCACGAAATTTTGCATGTAGGATGGGTTCTGGCCAATGAAGACCTCTATTGTTTTTGGAAAAGATCGGTTAATATTTAGAGGATGAAATGGACCAAAAACTTTATTTTTGTCGGTTTTTCTGGTCGCTCCAGAGGCCGCAATTATGGCCCAAACACCGCAAGTTTTTGCATGGAGAAGCGGATCGGGCCAGCGAATAAGCATGCCTGTTTTGATACAGATCGGTCAATATTTAGCGGGTCAATGGACCCTAACTTTTGTGTGAAAAACTGCAAAATTTGTATTCTATAGCGTATATATTCACTTCTGAAGGACATACCCCCGAGAAGTTGTCGTATGTACTCCGATGTGGGAGTTACACGAA